ATCAAGCCTTGAGCATATTTGGATGGATGACAGTAAAACATAATTACAGCTGTATATGAGGCTATATATTTCTGTGCTTTCCATTCAAAACTATGTTTTCAAACACTTGGAAAATTTAGCATATTACTCCCATGCTGATTGCAGAGAAGTGAGGTGTATAAAAGAGTTCCAGACTTACTACTGAATTTCACTCACCTTAATGTTTTGGTTACATTTATGGAATTTTAATTCGTAACAGTTCGAAAATAGTATTATGTCTTGAATAAACTGCATTGACATTAAATTTCTTTCCAGGCATCTGAACTTGAGCTTAAACCACTTGGGAAACATTTTTCATTATTTTCATTATATCCAGACATAGATGTGGAATGTAAAGCAGTGAAACAACAGCAGTAGACATACACTACTTCTTGCATTACAGAAAGCAGTTATAATCACACACCAGCCACGTAGAGATGGAGGTGGGGAGAGAGCGAGACCACTAGATGAATGAATGTTTATATAATACTAGTGTAACACCTGTTGAAAATCCAACAGTCTCATATAATTTGTTATATAAGCTTTCAAAGTGTTAAGTTCCCCATTTTTCTCCCATATTCTTTCCCAGTCCTACATGTTACCAAATGATACATGAAGGCTGGCATTTGATGCAATCTCTCATAAGTAACATGCACAGTTTCTTTCTGTAGTGTACTACACTTCACATGAAGAATGGTGTTTTCTGGGATGTGGCGCCATGTAGATATTGTATCAACTGACGTTTCAGAGGAACGTATCACCTCCATCTTCAAGGTATAAGAAATCCGCGAGCGAAGAACCAGCGTGAGCAGGTGGCTAGTTCCTCGCTCGCAGATTTCTTATACCTTAAAGATGGAGGCGATACGTTCCTCTGAAACATTGGCTGATACAATATCTATGAGTACATGGTGCCACATCCCAGAAGACGGCATTCTTCATAGTCACTACTATGAAAACCTCGAATCTTACATACACTTCACATATCCACATAAAAATATTCTCAATAACATGCACAGATAGTCAGTTGTAAACTGTTTTATTTCTGTAATGTACTGCACTTCACATATCCACATAAAAGTATTCTCAATACTCAACAGAATGGACTGCTAGGTCTTTACTGTGGTAACCCAAATCGCATAATTTCAGAGTTGTCATTCACTATTACATTAATTTTTATATGTACAGTAGGATAAGTTTACTGTTATCTTTTTATATATAAAAATAAAACATAGTATCTCATTCTGCAGGATGAACATAGGCAGTATTTTAGAACAAAGTGCTGAGAAGGAAGATTTTTGGACTTAAGAAAGATGATGTGTGAAGGATTGGAAAAAATTAAATAATATTATTACACAGTATTCTTCGCCTGACACTGTGATTAAATAAATAATGGATTGAGTTGGTTATATAGCAGTCATCAGATAATTGAGGAATGCATGCAAAATTTTGGTTGGCAGATGTGAAGAGAAAAGAGAACTTGGGCATATATGGGAGAATAATATTGAACTGTAAAACAGAGAGTGGAAGTGTGGAAGGGGTCTAGTGATGGGGTTCTGTGTACATAATTATGAATTTTCGCAGTCCACAAGAGTTAGCTGAACAATTTCGAGTATCAGCTGCACAAACAAACTCTGTGTCGTGGATTTAAGTCAGCTTCTAACTAAGAATGAAAAGTGGAATGTGCAAATGTACAAATTCTTCGGTGTTTAATCAATTCTTTTTTTTTTTCCTCAATGGTGTTCCTTGGAGACAGTCAGCCTGCTGGTAGGAAAACCTTGGCAGTGTATCCAATATTTCTCTTCTATTTCGTTATTTCATGGTTGGTGATATCACATTCCTGATCACCAAATAGATCCGACTAGGCTGTGTTCAACTGGATGGTATGCTCGTGTCAAACTGAAAGAATGTATATTACTGAGAAGTGAACTAAGTACAATATAAGTCCCTTTCAATATTTCCCACTGCACACTTCCAAAGCACACTTACCACTGTTTGGAATTTATATATATTTAACATACAGTCATTCCATATTTTTCATTAAACTCTCATTTTAATCAGTCAAGTGAATAGGCCTATGATGTGTTGACATGTCGTGGGCCAAACTGTTGTGGGCCTTCCAGTTAGCTGTAGTGTTATAAGGAGGTGCTTAGAGATTGAAAGATGTCCTGAATGTGTCTCTTTGGTAATCAACATTCTGGTGAGGCTGAGCAAAAGAATATGAGTGAGTAAAGAAGTATTATACGGGCTGTTATTGTAAGGTAACGAATGTAGCAATATTTCTTATAGTGGCATGAATGTGACAATTTGATCAACTGGCAAACGTGGTGTCAGGACTGATGATGAAAATGTCAGTAATGACAGTGCCATGAAGCATGATACAGGGATAAAATTCAACACTGAGTCTCCACATTTTCCATTTAGAGGCAGACCTGACCTAAATTCTAATTTATAAGATGCCAGTAATTCAGTGGAATATTTTAAATTGTTAATTGTTAAAATGGTTAATTGTTTAGGTAATAAGCAGAGAAGCAAACAGGTTTTAGAAAACATGCCTAATCGATAATTAAGATTTCAGAATTGAACATTGGTATTATTCAAACAGGCAGTGAAATAATTAAGGTCCCGGCATTGTTTTTGTTACAAAAGCTATTTTCTGAGGACAGATTACAGGAAATGCCAAAGTTTTTTAATTGTTTACTGAGAAGATTTCACATGCTACTCAAGTTTCTTCATTTTGTTGACAATGATAGTTATGATTAAGCCACCTGGGATTAAAAAAGACTGTATAAACTGAAATCTATGCCAGATCACCTGAGTGCTAAGTTTAGGTGTGTGTGTGTGTGACATGTCAGTGAACAAGTCTTAATGACGTGAAAGGGAAGTTTATCATGGAAGGTACATAGCCTCCCAGATTTGGCATAACATCATTTGAATTATGTGCAGTAAAGCCTGGTTATGTATGTAATTTCATTATTTACATTTATCAATATACCAATTTGTTATTATAACTCTCAGATGGAAGGAAGGGCCTAAACCTATCAGAAGCACATTTTGCCATTTGATTGACATCTGTTCTCTTGGTTTCTATTTAATTTACAAAAGACTTGGAGGAAGTATTTCCAGGATAGACTTTCAGTTGAAACTTGCAGAGAATTTGATTCTGAAATGTCTCAGAACTGAAGAGGGCTGTCAGCAGACCCTCAGAGACCACCACACCAAGGATGAATGTGCCTCACTACCCATCAATCTCACATTGTTGCTGTAGCTTTAAAGCAAGATCCATGCCAGCCAGCACTTGTGTGCTTCAAACCAATCAATATCATGAAGTCCATAAGATAGTTCTGTGCTCCATCACTTCAAATTTTACCACACTGTGTTTGACAGGGAGCAAGACTCGTTAACACATGGAAATATGAGTCATAAAGTATTATACAATATGTGCCAGTGAAGGAGTAGTAATGTTTTTGAAAGATCTGGTATATTAATTTGTGTTGCGTTATGTGATTTGTCTGACCACTGTCTTGGATTGCAAGGTTCTGTTTCTGTGTCAGAATTGTATAACAGAAGTTTGCAAATTTGGTATACATAAGTTATAACTCGCCGTCACATTCGCCTACATGTTTGGCACCACTTATAACTGACCCACTCAGTGAGGCTTCTAGCCCCACAAGTTGGTCGGCCCTTATAACTTGCCACTTTGTGTTCTGTCAGGCCCCTTTGTTGGGCGCCACTTTTAACTGTCCTCTTAGTGCCCTTACGTTGGTCTCCACTTTCATCCGCTGCTTCCTTGTTGTCGTCTGGTTCAGGGTAGGGTGTGGGATTACTCTGAATTTGAATTTGTATGGGCGCTAGTGGACTTGGGTGAAATCCACGAATTTGGAATGGGGAAAACAAGGGGGGGGGATGTGGATAGGCAGATGTTTGGGGTTTCGGCTGCTCAGACAGCAGGACGAGATTCTGCCTCAGGGCGACTTCTGGCCTTGCTCACACGAGATAGAGAACACTTAAAACACACACTTCACCAACACTGTTGCTCTTTATTGTAGATGTGAACTAGAATTACATATTACAAGGCTGTAGCACTTTTGAATTTGTGTACCAGACTCGGCAAACACCGATTTAACGTCCGGGAGGTTACTCCTGTTACTCACTAAGACAACTGACTCCTCCGGAGAGGCAGAAGTCTTGACGGTTCCAGGAACGCCTGGTTTCCTCTCCTCTGAAATTTTGCTGATTGGCTGAACCTAAAATTTGGGTGTTTCTCTCATTTACATTCAGCCAATCCCTAGCAAGATCCATTTAAATTTGGGCCTAAATATAACACGGTCCTTCTGACAGCTCTTAAATAAAGGAAGGTACACTAACGATCGCTCAGTATGCCCCTTCGAAAATTATTGCGACTCGTATCTGTCAAGTCTCAAATTTTCAAAGACTTGTACCACCAAAGTTAAGCATTGAAATTCCCAGAAAACGCAGCGGGATACTTCCTGCTCTGTTCTGGGTTTTCCAGTGACCTGCAGCTTGCTTGTCCCTCAGAAAGACCAGATGTCATCCTTGGGGCCTGCTGATGCTGGGGTCAGTTGTGTATCATCTTTTGTTAACAGTAATACAGTTCGTTTACTTGTAGTACATTATAATTAAGTATGTAAATCAACAACATTGTTGAGGTTCCTGCATGGTGCAGTTACAAAGTGATGACTTTATTCCCCACTCAGATATGTGTCAGTGGTGTAGTCATTCCAGATAACGTTAAAATTACTGAATGCTTTTAAAAAATAAGTTTTTTATATGAGAGATGTATAAGTGAAATTATGTAATTTTAAACTCTGATAATGGTCTCTCATACAGTATTTGTTTCATAATTTTATAATAAAAATTGGCAAAATAAAGAACGCAAAATTTATACAATTAAATGGCTGCTGCAACATTTAAATATTGGCAGACTACCTCAGTGCAAGAGAGATACTGTTCTAGAAATAAACCACCTAACTGATTAAGAAACTTTGTAAGGCATTACACTTTCATGACTAAGTTGGAACTTGTTTCATCCCCCTCCCCCCCCATTTTGGGAGATGGTATCATGTTTTAATGGGCTAATGTATACATTTCAGAGACCTAGGCCCTTCCAGTGTTCATTATGTTTATAAGACTTGGCTGTGGGGGTGATTTAAATTCTAAATTTCTGATTTGTGAATCCAAAACCATGCTGAGCAGTGCAAACTAGCAGTGCAAAATGAATACATTTTTCAGGGCAGTTACCTGCATCTGGGAGGGAACTGTGGCCAAAGTGTTTGATATGTGGTGTGCAATAGAGCCCTTGATTTTGTTGAGTAATTTAATGTATTAAAGCCATGCCATTATGAAGGTAACCATAATTTAGGTGAAGAATATAAAAAATGTTACTACAGTAAAGCTGTTTTTCCTGAAGAGCCCTACAAAGTACAAAGTACGTATATGTTTTGTTGTCTTTTTCCTTCTATTCAAGAGTACAGAATATAGACATATATTTGCTAATTTTGTCTCCTCTTTTTACAATATTTTTTCATAACTAATTTATTTAAAAAATTAATGAATTAAGAGAAAATGATATGTTACTGTTTACTTCAGCATATTTTAATGTATGACTGAACAGTAAACTCATAGTAAATAAAAATACTAGGAAACAGCAAAAAATAAACCTCAAAATAGTTGATAGATTTAACTTCTCATACAAACACTCGTTAACAACAAAAAAATGTAATGCTCCCATTCCTAAATACAGTTTTTGTTGTAACATGGAATTTGCTGATTCAGAGAACTTAGCCCTGGTTCAGATGGAATTTAATCATTCTGTCACCATATAACTGTTTTCATGGTTTGTTTAATGAAACACGTGACACCTGATAAAGTCATATTTATTGCTTAAATTTTAAAATTTTCTTTGCCAAGTTCATCATCAGACTGGAATGTAATTTTCCAAATTCCAAGGCATACCCACATTTTGTATCATTTTGTTCAACATGATAACCATAAAGAAACAGGAGATGAACATATCAACTGATCACTTTCCCTTGGGCTTAATTGAGGTATCCACCAGGACACAGTTTATCATAATCGATCTTAAAATTGTTAGATTCATGCTGATGTTGGACAGGAAAGTAATTTATTGATTGTAGTTCAGAGTTCTGAGAAAGGTTAAAATGAGGGTTTATTGTTCAAGACATGTAAATATGTGTAATTTATAAGTTAATCATAATTTTTGTAATGAATACGCTTTGTCTACTGTTCATATATAAATTATGCACAGTGTAAGTAAATGAATAACAAAGAATACATGGAATGTGTTATTTCTTAAGCCTGCAAATTAGATATGGACTCTTGAGCTTTTTCCAGCACTGCAATCACTTTATTCAGTTCATTCTTATCCATTTCCAAACTCACAGTCTTCTGTTTTATATCTGATTTCTGAGCCATCATGTTCTTTCCTTCACGTAGGTGGAAATCCAGAAACAGTAGTGGTTCTCGCAGAGAAGACAGTTTGCTGCTTCCCATAACCCACTATTTTAGAGAGAAACAATTTATCACATTAAACAAATTCACAGATCCCAGGTTTTGTTCAGTTGTGAACGTGTTACATATCTTGGCCAGCATATTGATTATCCTGACTGGAGCATTTCTTGGTAATTGCATTAAAAATCTGTCTAATATGTATGTACTAATTCAGCATCAGTATATTAACAACAAAGGGACAACATTAATACAGTTCTGCCTGAAATCAGAGAAGTATCAGAATACAAATTTTATACATTATAAACCTTAAATATCAGATTCTGTAGTTAAAAAGTACCACATACAAAATGTGAAATTTTAATTGCCACAACTTTACAAATATTTTCATTTTGGTCAACAGTTGTAAAGTACATTTTTCAGTATTATACCACAATTGATATTACTGAATTCAAGAACTCGTTTATTTTATTGGTATCTACACAGCCATATAGTGTGTGGGATTTGGATTCTGTTCACTGCCTCATATTCTAAGAGAACATAATGTTTTGGAAACTGGTTCTATCTTCAGGTGGAAAGGTGGAGAGGCAGCTGCTCAGTTTGGGCCAACAGAAGGAGCTAATCTCAATCATTAGACCTCAGGTGAGAAGGTGGGGAAGTACCTACTCAGCTGGGTGTATTAGAAAGAGCTAATCTTGATCACTGGACCTAGTCCCCACCTTTTCATCTGGGTCCAGTGACTGAGATTTCCTAATGGATACAAAACAGAGCAAGATGCCACTTGTGTACTTAATGATAAATCAAGATTTAAGTAAGAATCTAAAATCATGGAATTACTTAAAATTTGAATATGGCCACAGCAAATTTTTCTTCAGAACAGCTGGTGTGGAGTGTCTGATGTTGAGTTTACAGTTCTAAACTGGATTGTGCATTATGTGAAGTATCCAATCATGCAATCATGTTTTTTGTAACTACCTCCTCTTTGGTACATTTTTTTTAATTGTTAGTGGGGTAGGACTAAGTCCCTTGTACTGCAGCCACTTCTGGCCTATTGTACCAGCCTCAGATGATAGGTGAGGGTGATTGTGGAGCAATTGGTGGAATGAAGATTGGCAGGGGAAACCAAAGTACTTTGCGAAAACCTGCCCCAGCGCCACTTTGTCCACCATGAATCCCACTTGACCAGACCCAGGATCGAACCCAGGCTGCTGCGGTGGGAAGCCAGCGACTAACCGCTTGAGCTATGGTGCGGCCCTTTGGTACACCTTAGTATCAGCACCTTTCTTTCTAGAAAGGATATAATGCATGTATATTATAAAGCTATGTACCTTAATGCCAAACTACAGATTCTGTTTTACATCACTTACAGGACACTGACAGGTGGCAGAATAATGGAATCAAGATGATTAAAACAGGGTAACTGAACAGGTTTGTCTGCAGGTAATGATCTAGACTTTTATGTGAGAGGTGGTCTGTTTACATCTCAGCCAGGACTACAATTATCCTTGCTGAGGTTTTTTGTGGTTCTCTTCATTCCTCCAGGCAAATAACAGTGCCTTGATTAAGCTTCCTTCCAAATCCTTTCCAGTTCATCTATCATCCTATCATCTGACACTATGCAGAAATGATACTAAAAGCACCATGAAATAACCTGCCTTTATCCTCCAATCAAAATCTTGTAATATGGGACCAGAGATAGCACATTTTTCTTCTAATAAGGCATTCTGAATGTCACCTTGCCGGACTTCAAGGCACTCTATTATAATCTCCTGGCGATCAGCATCAAGTTCCGCAACTTTATCCATTACCTGAAAGTACAGTTCTAAAATGAGAATGCATATATTGTTGACAGTGAAAGAAACAGACACCTTCCACCAAGTTTAATGAAGAATGTTTGTGCTCTATGAAGTCAAATACAGGTCTACCTCATTTCTGCTCAGTTGATTAGCAACAGCATCTATGAACAGCTGTTTTATACCAATTGTAACTACTGTGTATTCATCACTGGTCCAATCTGTTACTGACTTAAGGTTTTCATATGTGTTGCTTTTCCTGCCACAGATATCATTAATGCAAGAATGAAGACACTGTAAAAGAAAGATACATCATGAATCTATCAGAATTCTTGTACAAGTGCAATAATGATGAAGTATAGTATAATCTATGAGTCAACTCTGTTAATAACACAGAACACTTTATGAGCAGATTGTTTACATTCATGCATCCAACCATACATCAATTTTTATACACAAGACAGCACAATTATTTTGTCTGCGAGGAAGATATGCTACATCAGTCTATCTGATCAATATTCCAGGTGTTGGATTCTTGTTACTCACCTCTGTAAATGCATTAATTGGTGAATTTTGTAATATACTCTGGAACTGCAATTGTTGACCTTCCATTGTCATTCTTCTTTATGATTCAAAACACGAGCATACCTGATTACGGTGTTTTCACTGCTCATCACCGCCCTTGTCGTCGGTGTTAATGTCAGTAATCCACTGTAAATCAATTTACGATTTTATGCTGGCATTTTGAAGAAGGGGCCCAAGTACACTGCAGCAACATTACGTCAGCTTAATTGACATATTTCCTTTCACTAATATCAATAACTAGAACTACAGCAGTCGCCACCGGTCGCCACTGATGCCACTGTCTGCCAGTTACATTGATTGTATTCGGTTTAGATCGTTTAGATGGAAGCGATAACACACATCGTCACAGATTATTTTGCGAATATTGTTGCGCGGTTTGCGCGGTGTTGTCCATCTTGTAGAGACAAGTATCAAGGGGCGGGAGGGGTTAGTGTTTGTGGTATTAATCTGGGTGAATATTTGTTTATGTCTGCGTCGTTGTCGTAAATATTCTTGCTGTTTGGAGCATTTCAGTTGCAGCAAAATGGCAGAGTATTTGGCTTCAATTTTCGGTACTGAAAAAGACAAGTAAGTAATATATTTTCAAAACCATTTATGTATTTGTGCGTGTACAAGTGAATGGTAACGCCATGTTTGTGTGTTGGAATTGGAGGTTGAGGAAAAAGTTGTTTGTTAATAAATTTGTTACCAACATTTTTACTTGGAAACCGAAGTCCAACGTCAATGAAAAAACCATTGTTTTAATGGAATGGGGAAATATTTTCAATGAAAAGAGAAGGCGTAGGTCTAGTGCAACGCACGCTGGCGTAACTACATAATCAGTAACATAATTTTGACTGCAATTTTTAGGCCTACCCTAAACACTTCCACAGTGTTAATTAACCATATTTGAACAGATCAGTATTCTTATGACTTAAATATATTATCAGTGCATCATCGAATCGTGATAGGGCAGTCGGTATAGCGGCTGGCTGCGGGCTGGAAGACCGAGAAGTGGGAGTTGAAGTCCCAGTAGGATCAAGAATTTTCTCCACTCGGTAACGTAGTTGGTTGAGGCATTATGCTACAAGCCGGAAGGTCGCGGGTTCGAGTCCCAATGAGGTGGATTTTTTTTTTCAGTTTACTTAATCTTTCCACCTGCACTATGGCCCTGGGGTCGACTCAGCCTCTAACAGAAGTGAGTACCAGGAATCTTCTTTTGGGGTGAAGGCGGCCGGCTCGTAAGACTGATAACCTTACGCCATATGCGAGCCGATAGTCTAGAGAAAATGTGAGAGCCTTGACTTTCCACAGCTGTGGGCATTCACGGCCTTTACCTTTATGTTACCACATCATCCAGACCAGACTTGGGGCTCACCCAGCATTCTCTCCAATGGGTACCAGCAGCTCATTCCCCGGGACAAACTGACAGGGTCGTGAAGCAGGCCGCTCACCTCCAGCTAGTGCCAAGGCCAAGAGAGTTTGGATCTATACATCTACTTCCCCATATACTTTCATGGTGTAGTGCTGAATTAGTTAAGCAAAGGGGACAGCTTTACCTTCCAGTTCATTATCATGTGTATTCAGTTCAAATTTTATTCATCCTTCTTAGTCAAACAGTTGACATCAGATATACATCTTATATACATATCCAAAGGTAATGTAAATATTTCTTCTAAGTTTCTTCATATTGCAATGCAATACAGATATAATTCATAAATGGCAGTTCAACTCAGGTATTGAATTCTGATAATTGATATTACACATTAATCTACAGAGTAAAATATATGTTGTAATAGATAGGATCTCAACTTCATATCAAATTACCTTCTTTTGCCTTTCTCCCAAATATTATTTGGTAATTTGTTATATAATTTAATTCCCATATATATGACATGTATCTTAAAAGAATTTGGTTTACAAAACTGAGCATGGAGGTTCAAATTTGGCATGTACTATGATTATGAATTGCAACATTTTGTTCCACTTTATATGCTCTGTGTCCAATGATCATCATTCCTGGCTACAGATCCAGAGGTCCAGGTTCGATTCCCGGCGCTACCAGATTTTTTCTGAGAAGTAGTGAGTCTGGAATGGGGTCTACTCAGCCTCATGAGGATAATTGAGGAGCTATTTCAAGGAAATAGCGGCTCTGATTTAGAAAACTGAGATTAATGGCCATGGGGATTTGTTGCGCTGACCATGCAACACCCTCTATCAGCTAAAGTTGGCACTAACTTCGCCGACAAGTGGCAGTCGCTCAGTTAGTATAGTTGACTTGCAGACTAAAATCACGGAGTTTTTTTTTTTAATACGCGGTTTTATGTGGTACATTTATTATTTCAGATATACATGCAAGGTACTGGAAGTATATTTAAATCCCTAAAAAGTTGTATGCATGATTTATATCTTCTCACACCATTGATTATTCATATAACCTGTTATTGTAATTTGGGCGCTATGCTACAAGCTGGAAGGTCGTGGGTTCAAGTCCAGATGAGGTCATTGGATTTTTTTTCAATTGACCTAATCCTTCTGGCCACACTATGAACCTGGGGTTGACTCAGCCTCTAACAGAAATGAGTACCAGGAATTAATTAAGTAAGTTTCCTGGGGAGCAAAGCGCGGCTGGCGCATAAGGCTGACAGCCTTACCGCCATCTTTGAGCCGATTGTGTAGATAATGTGGGACCCCCAATGTCTCACAAAGGCCCATGGGCCTTCACGGCCTGTTACAGGGATAGCTCTACTTTTAACTTTTATACTTTTTTGTCACCACTGTAGTAAATGAAGCCACACTTCAGATATGAGAATATGCAAAATAAATATTCCTTAACGTATGGGCTTGTTATATCCTCAAGAGATTTTATCATATAACAAAATTTACTGTGTTTAGATCTTAGTGACCTTACATATGGATACCATTTCATATATTCACTAATGTTTATGCCTAAGAATTTTGTTTCAGAATTACTAGTAATATCTATATTGTCAAATTTGTCTTGAGGTTTTTTATGGATCTCTTTCTTCGTTATTATGAAATGATCCTGCTGTTGTTTTCAGGACTTAGTCTAAGGCCATTTGCATAAAACCATGAATGCAAATTATTCATAATCCTATTTTATTGTTTGCTGGAGGGTCTGCTTGTTTTCTGCTAAAGTGTTTGTAGCATCTGCAAATAGAACTGGTCTTTTCTCTGTGATAGTTATTGGCTAGTCATTTATGTATAAAAAAGTCAGCTTGAAAATTGAAGCTTGGGGCACAACCATGTTTAATTTATTTTAGTGCTGAAAGATACATGTATAGTTTATTTTAACAAATTTGCTTGTGATGTGTTAAATATGATCCAAACCATGAGGTCACAATGCCACCATGTGAATTTAATTTGGCAACTAGAATATCATGATTTAAACCAACATGATTCACTTAAATCACAAAATATTCCATTTTGGGGCTTCCCCCCGCTAGATTCAGCTTCTTGTACTTCAGTTGCCACTGGAAAAAAATAAACCTAGTTTCATTGCAACGACATTTCTTTTGGCATTTGACAGTGGAACATCATATCATTATAAGTTATATGTGAAATTTGTGTCAATACACACACACAGTAGTGTGATTGGTTGAGGCACTGTGCTACAGGCCAGATGGTCACAGGTTCATGTCCTGATGAGATGGTTTCTTTCCTTTGCCCTAATCCTTCCAGCTGCACTATGACCTTGGGGTCAACTCAGCTTCTAACAGAAATGAGTACCAGGAATCTTCCCTGGGAGTAAAGGGCGGCTGGCAAGTAAGGCTAACAGCCTTACTGCCATCTGTGAGCTGATTCTCTAGAGAAAATGTGAGAGCCTTGAACTCCATACTTTGGCCCAATTGGCTGTCCTCAGCTTGTAATGCATTTGTTTTTGCATCTTTTTTTGTAGCAGTTGACCAACATCTATATTAAATTCTAAAAACTGATGATTATGTGGTTTGTGAGGAGATTTGAAACTTTGTCAGTGATTAAAGTATTAAAAGTTAAAATTAGAATTAAGACTAAAAAGTGCTTTTGAGTATTCATAATTGAAGTTGGTTGTGTTGTTATGAT